ATATACACATATATATATATATAGACACCAGATGATACAGTAGCGGCTAATGGCCACCTAGCGTCGGCGTCTGTAAGCATGCTCGTATCTTAAATCTTTTTTCGTATCTCAAATCAAACATCAAACATTCAACAATCAAACAAGGGTTGCTTGTATCTCGAGGTTCCACTGTGTTTGTAATATTTTTGAGAAAAGACCACCTACTATCCAGTGTGAGATTCCACGTAGAAAAGGAAGCTCCTGTTCTCGTCCTGGGCACAGATGAGGCGAATTCCATTCAGGGCGGTGTCATCCCCTCCATACTGATTGGTCTCCACCTGAGAAAACAGAGTGCATTTCCCAATAGTCTGGTTAAAGAACTTTCTTATCACATCGCTGCTAAAGCAGGTAGTCAGTGTGATAAGTGTGAAATATCGGTTCCATAGTGTAGCAGTTAGCACGCCTGCCTCCGAAGCAGAGAGCAGTGAGTCCTGGGTTCAATTTCCAGAGGAACCACATGCTTAGCACCTGCTGGGGGCAACACAAGAATTTCCCATATATTGGATCAATATAGTTCTATATTTTTGAATAAATATTTTAAAATCAACAATTTTTTTATTTTTGCTAATATTTACGTATTTACGTTCTATTGCGACGTATTGTTTACTTTTTTTATTTTACTAGTTGTTTTGAAAATGGCTATTGGTTTTTGGAATTAGTTATCACACTCCACTCTGCCCATTACTGTCAGTTAATATAATAGTATAATAAGTGTTAAAAGTGTCTTTACCCTGATACTGAATCCAACAGCAAAGAAGTTTTCAGGACACATCTCCGGCCATGTCCAGTTTCCAAACCTTTCTCCGTTGTTGACAAACAGCAAGGACCTGTGCTCTCTGTTGTTGAAGGCCACTCCAGCTCTCTGCATGAAGACCTTCTCCTCCTCACAGAAGCCTAAAGCCAGCAAAACCAGAGAGGCCAAAGCCAGGTACAGACTCGCCATAATGACTGCAGGAGACTTGGGCTCTGATGTGCCAACAACTGACACCAGTCCAGACTTAATGTTCTTATATCGTCACACCGCTGACAGGAAACATGGGCGGGTGTCAACGTGGATCATTTACAGGGCAAAACACCTCTGTGGGAACTAACAGCTGCTGCTGAAGAAGAAAACTACATTCACCTCCAGCTACTATACTAACACCTGTCCCCAAAAACCCTTTCATTCTGTTACACTATTTTATCATTAAAACTGACTACAAACATTATTAACCTATTTAACCAATATATATGAGCTTTTTAACCGACAGCGATCAACTAGGTTTGACTAAAATAATTTAATTTAAAAAATATACCATATTTTCCATAATGTAAGTCGCTCCGGAGTATAAATCGCACCAGCCAAAAAAAAGCATAATGAAGAAAGAAAAAACATATAGAAGTCATGCCTAAAACTAAGTCGCACCAGTGCCCTCTAGCATCTGTCAGTGTGAAAATAACGAAGATGTAAATTTTCAGTGATACAGGAAAGGAAGCTACTGGTACAGAAGCCTAGAGTGCCCTCTAGCGGCTGTCAGTGTGAAAATATTAAAGTAAATTTTCCAGTGGTACAGGAGTAGCAGATACCAGTACACGAGTGCACACACACAAATACAATTATATATATATATAT